CGCGTTTCTGGGCTCTATGTTTCACGTGTACGGTTTCCAGGTACTGTCGGAGCTGACTACTAAGATGGAGTGGTACCAGACTGGCAGATTCCCGCGTGTCACTCTGTGTGACTTCAACATACGGCAACTGGGAGGGAACATCCATCGCTGGACTGTACAGTGCGCTCTACCCATCAACTTGTTCAACGAGAAGATCTACATGTTCTTGTGGTTCTGGATGGTGTACGTGGCCATTGCAACCGTATGGGGCATGATTTCGTGGTTTAGCTTCCTCTACCGACGAGAGAGAAAGGCCTACATCGCCAAGTTCCTTAAACGTATGGGCATCATCTCCTCAACCAGCACCGGCGATGGGAAGTTGGTACGAAAGTTCATTACGCGGTACCTGCGTCCCGACGGGGCGTTTATCCTTAACCTGGTGGGTAGAAACACCAATGATATCGTCATAGGAGAGCTGGTGGCAGCGCTGTGGGAGAAATTCAAGAAGGATCGCGCTCATCTGCTGACCGACAGAGGCCTTGACGAAGAAGGAAATCACAAAATGGACAAGATGCTTGAAGATGCTGTGTGAACATTTTAAATGTTTAGCAGAGTTAATATAACAGTCCCGGTGTGGAGTTCACACCATTGCAACAAGGGAGGCATTGCTACCCATTACTTCAGGGTCATGATCTCACCATTGGTGTGAAAATTCCACTTTTTTAGGTTCATCCATCCCATACTGACTGAGTTAATTTGAGTGTCAAAGAAATAACAGTTGTAGGTTAAGTTCGTATTTAGCTATTTTGTACCTAACAGAATACAGTATTCTCTCACGTTTTGACTTAATTTGTTAATCCATTAAGTACGCTCTCTACACGTAACCGATCGAACTGGGATCTCGTGGTGAAAATTGGTATTCAGGTTTCAGACTAGTCCAACGTTTATTTCTGTAGCAGTAGTGTATTCTTGATTATACAAGGTCTAAACATCGATGACACCACTTCAGTATGTGTAAAACTAAGTATTATCAAAATGTAATGACGGTGCCTTTTCACAAAGTAACTGGACCGGACGTATTACATTAACATATGCTGTAATTAAAAGGGATGACGAGAGATAGAATTTTTTTACTCATATACCATTTCCACACCAATCTGTAGCATTCCGTATTTGCTCAAAGGTGTCCGAGAAAGTGCGACATCATTTAAATAACTGCATTTATGTTTGAGGTCAGTATTTAAAAGGTGTCCGAGAAAGTGCGACATCATTTAAATAACTGCATTTATGTTTGAGGTCAGTATTTACGACAGGAAGTATTTATGTGTATTCATAAGCGAGTATCTGTCTCGTGAAATGATATTCATTGTGGTATCCTTTCACTTCATGGAATCTCATGCTTGAGACTTTTTTAAAGGGTTCATTATTTTTTTAAGTTGAATCTCCATTCCCTGCAGCTTGGCTTTGCTAATGACATTTTTGAAGCGAAATCCAGGAGTATATTTTAAATGTAACTGGTATACTTATGCTCAAAAACCGCTCTAGAATATATTCTAAAAAGATAAAACAAGAAAACAATTTTTTAAAAAAGATAATTTTACTTTTTGAAGTGGTTTGATTTGGTTCAGTATCTTGTCCTTACCACTAGAGTATTATTTGTTCGGTTAAAGTTAGCGTTAGATGTTGATTAATGAAACGAAGTGTTAGGTGATAATTAATAAAAAGATACAATCAAAAACCGTAGTGTATTCTGTTTCTTCAAAGTTATTGACGTTTTAACAATAAATATAATATATACAGATTTGACATTTGTTTCTTGTTTTTTATGTCAAGTAAAAGACAGGCTTTGTGAAGTCACTTTGCCAAGGTTGCAGGGCATATTAGTTTAAAGGCACTTGATAAAGGAATGAAAGGAAAACTTAATTGGGTGTGCCTTTGAAATAATGATAATGGAATCAAAATGATCGCCTTTTGATTCTCGAGTCTAGTTGTATATGTAAAGATGCTTGCGTTCCGTTCAGGTTGCTGTATCTATGGTGATGTAATAAAACCTAGAAATAACTATTTTGTTTAATGGAGTAATTAACAAAGAATGATAACAGAGGGAGAGGGAGGCAATCGTCAATAGTCTGATTAAGCTTAATCGGGATAGGTTGGGGGTTTGGATGAATTGCGGGCACAGGTGTTAAATAATTTCTACTTGAACCGTTTTGTACGTTGCTGAATACTACGTACTACTCATTTAATGTATATGAAGACGGCATAATAGTCCTAAAACAGTTGCAAAACCAGGCATGAGTGGTACCATTATCCACGGTGTTGTATGCTTATACTTGATATTAAAAACCTTCTCTTGGCTATGAGAGCTTGTGTGTATAACCAAATACCTGTGACCGCACTTAGACAGACGGTGGTGCGACGGTCAGACTTGATATTAGATAAAAAGTCTCTGTATCATATTTTCCCTGATGTGTTTAACCGGTGCACCATGATAAGTCGCGAAGAAAACAATTGACATTCTGTTGTGGTATTGCAGTAAATCTGAAGTGTCTGAGGTATGACTCGATGCGGTTTTAACATTGTCATATTAATAGGCTAACTCACGCATCTAAATCTTTGGAATCGAAGCACAGTTTGTTGAATAGTAGTTTTCGAAAAAAAAGATATGCTTTTTTTGGGGCGACTTAGAGATACTAGGGAGTGAAAGGGGGGAAGGAAATTAGATGAACGTTAACACTGGGTCATATATTAAAGTTCTTTTGTGCAGGATTTCTTTTTCCGATTGAGAAACAACAGTGCCAGTGTAAACATCTTCAAATAATCAACAATAAGTTTAATATTGGAAAGTGTTTTACTACAGATAAAACAAATTATCGATACTGTACACAGTGCGTGCAAACATCGACAAGGAAAATGGGATAAATCAGAAAAAATTATAATACCAAAAATCTACAGTACATATTATACTTCAGCTTGTGGGACACATATTTACACAAATAATCGTAGCACCCTACAAGTTTCTGGAGATAGACATGGAAACACAGTGCATTGCAAGTTTGGATATAGCCGTTGTACCGGATGATTGTGCTGGATGATTGCGCCAGAGTCATTGTGGTAGAGGTTAATTGACATTGGTTAAGATTCTGGGCACAAAAAGCGTATCACAGTTACCGCATTTTGATCATGAAAACACTTCGTAAGCTGTGATTTCCATCCTTCCAGAGCTGATGTATGTAAGAATCATATGCATTATGTGACACAGGCGTCGGGGCAGGGTTCACTAAATAACTTCGGCCCCAAAATTGGTCTTAACTTATATAGAACAAACTGCTTTTCTACTTTTACCCAAAGTAAAGTGGTAGTTGTTTAATTTAATGGAATATTACACCTGTTTCAGACTTGATTAAATGTCGATGTACTCCGTACCAGGGCCACAGATTGACGTTTTCACTAGATATGTACAGATGTGTCACTGGTTACTTCACGGCACTTTTCTGCACTGTGAGTTAGAGAAAAGCGTAACGTGATTGTGTTTGAACTTTTTTATGTAATAATTAAATCCATATTTATGTTCACTATTGGAGTAAAAAAAATTGATAAAGAGTATGAATTCCTGTAGTATAGTTGAAACGTAAGTAAAAATCAATAAAAATGGGAAGATTTAAGACCTACTTTTAAGTTATAAAAGCCTACGAAATCCCATGAAATCTCCTTTTAAGTACACGCTTACTACAAAATGAATATATACTTCAGGAATGTTTACTTAACTTTATTGTACATATCACGCTTTATTTTTTGACATTATTAGTTGCTTTATTTGCTTATTTTGCTATTTATCCATTTACCTAACTGAATATTTTGTGAATATTTTCAGATACTGGCAGCGCGTTCCTATAGAAGAATGCGCATATTTGGTCCACTGATTCCTTATTCATGCCAATGTTGTCTGTGGTATTCTTGTAAGACAATTTTATGTTTATATTGGCATGTATTTTGCGTTGGTTTTCAAATTCTGTTCCGATACCTGTAAACTGAAAGCTTGTGATCTTGAAAATATTTAATTATTTTTCAGAATCTTATACAATTTATACAATTTTGACAGAAAATTACAAAAATTCTTCCTGAAAATTGAAGATGTTTTAGCACAAACACAGAAAATAAAATTTGTCCCATGTGTCGTCTGAACGCTGATTTACCAGCGCGTCTAATTTGTAGATTAAACGTGTTTAAACTCGATTCATTATAAATTTTGTTAGAAAAAGAACAAAATACCAGTAGCTGTCGGGCCGCGAGATTGCAGGTAATTGGGTCAGTTGCTGAGCCTGGATGGTCCAGGGACGGATCCAGGATTATTTGAAGGGGGGGGGAGGGGGGGGGGGGAGGTCATAGGTAACGTATGTATCGATGGATATCAAAATCAATAGGACAATGTAACAAAGAAGAATGTGCAACGTATATACAAACGTGCCCGCTCGCATGACGCTGCACGCACTCACATATTTGCGCCGACAGACAACCAACAACGTAAATAACAACAACAACAACAATCTACACGCAATTTGGTATTGTATGTACCGATACATACGTTACCAAACTGCGTGTAGATTGTTGTTGTTGTTTACGTTGTTTGTTGTCACACATGCGCGTTTCTACAATGTTTCTACAGTGCATATTCCTCTTACGTTGTCATATATATCAAACGTTACCTATGTGTTTAATAACTGGTAGCTGCCTCCCACTTCTGGTGAGCCAACATCTAATTTTTTTCACTGCATATGAGGTTGCAATAAAATAGAAATGGGGCAAAAGAGGGAAATTGTCTTCAAACGATTTGTAAAAATTATTCACGATACATACGTTACTGGTACATACTTTGCCAAATTGCGTGTAGATTGCTGTTGTTTTCTGTTGTTGTTTACGTTGTTAGTTGTCCGTCGATACATACGTTACCTATATTTTAAATAACTGTTAACTGTGTGTGTGTGTGTGTGTGTGGGGGGGGGGGGGAGGTGACCCCCCCCCCCCCCCCCGGTTTTTAAAAAAAAAATA